AGACTTCGGCTGCAGCCAGGGACGGCCTGGCGGGGCCTGACTTGGGCGAGCCAGACCGCTCTGCCTGCTTACTGGTGTTCCCCCGAGGGCTCAGGGACCTGGACTGCCTGATGAACTTGGAAGGGAGTGCTGGGGAAATGGCCTTCTTCAGCTTCCGAGCCCTGTCCTGCTGCTGGCTGCTAGCCTGCCGTAGGGAAAGGGGAGTCTCTGTTGCCTTGAGCCTTGAGCTCTCCGAAGGCTCGGCTGCAGGCACAGGGCGGCGGTGGGATGCCCTAGCTCGAGCAGCAGAGGTTGCCTTGGAGATGGTTCGTGGGGGGTCCTCCACGCTCTCAGTATAGGAGGATTCTGGCAAGGTCTCCGCGTCGATGCTCGGGGCATTCTGAAGGTCTTCCACAGACAGGTGGTGCAGGAGGCTCCGGCTCAGGCTCCAGCGTCTGGAATCAGCCAGCGGGCTCAGCTTGGGGCTGTCCAGGTGCCCGCTTGAGGGCGACGAGGACTCCATTTCTGCGGGGAACTCCAGGCTCTCTCCGAGTTGGCTCCGGCTTTCAAAGACATCAGCTCCGGTTCTCTGGCTTGGCTTGTGGGAGCGCTCCAGCAGGGTGCTGGAAGGGGGCGGGCTGACGTCAGAGTGTCCCGAAAGCTCCTCTCCGCCATCTGTGGTGAAGCTGAAGGATTTGCCGTAGTCCCCGTACAGAGCCTGGGCGTCCCGCAGAGCATCAGGGCTGGCGCTGTACTCTGAGCCATACTGGCCCTCGAAAGAGAGCTCCCCTTCGCTCCCTGCCTCCCAGTCCCCCTCCTGTCTCTCCACGTCCCCTGAGCTGGCTTGGTCCTCATCCTCTTCAGTCATGTCTAGCTGCCTGTCTCTCTGTGGGTGCCAGTGGGCTGGGGAGGTTGGGTCCTCCTGTGTCCCATCATGCTCTAGCTCCTCGCCATCATCTGGAAAACAAACAATCGTGCTACCATCACCAAGGGCTCTATGGTTTCTTTGTTCATTTGATTTCTCCCCATGAACCCAACTCCAAAACTGCTCAGGAGAGTTGGGTTCTATTCCTGGCCTGCCACTGGCCTGCTGAGGGACTTTGGGCAACTCACGTCTCCATTCTGTGCCTCAGTTTCCCTATGTGTAAATGGCGGTAATGATACTGACCTCCTTTGTTAAAAGTGCTCTGTAAGAACTAGGCGGTGGTATTATTATTCCTACAAACATGGGGGTTTTTGTTTTGTTTTTTAATAATAATCCATGCTTTTTGCCCCCATATTCTCCTGCTGCAGCGAGTCCCACAGGTCATGTTACGTAGAGAAACAGTGATCACACATACGTAACTGTAATTCTTTCCAGTTCTGCCGTTTTAAAATATACTGCCTTTTAACCCTTTCTGAGCACCCTCTTGTTCCATTACAAGATGGGAGCAGCACAAGTGGCTTTCTCTGCACCATGCATACATTTCTAGACCTCCAGCATCTCTCTTTTTTCTATTCTCCAAGCCAAGCCACCTAGTCCTGGGGTAAAATATTTAAGAGTGCCGTAGCAACCTAGGTTCCATCGACTTCCAGTGAAGCTCCCAAGTCACATTAGAAGTTGACACTTGAATATTTTACCCTTAATTTTGTCAATCTGGAAAATCACATGGAGCTTCCCTTGCCCAGCGGGTCCAATTCTCCTCTCATACCATTTTAACGTTGATGGAACTTCATCAACTCCAGTGGAGTTTCTCCGATCCTGCTGGTGTGCATCAAGAGTATCAGGCCGAATGTCCCTAATCGTTTTTATTGTCCCTGCTTTGGGACGTTTCTATTTCTGTTACGGCTTTAAGGGGAGACGGCCAAACCTTGAATGCTATCCATCAGAGGACGACGTACCTTCAGTATATATGTAACACTGAGAATATATTCGGGGTCATCATCATTAACCACATGAAGATATTTGCATATTATTCCTTGGCCCTCAATACAGGCTAAGGAAACAATTACCCGGCAGTTGGGAGGGCCGGCTGAGCTAGCAGAAATCAAGTCAGTTCACTAAACAGAGCTGTAGCAGCATGGGCAGTGGGATGGGCTAGTCACCCAAGTACAATCCCGACCTGGTTCCCTGGGTGCATAGTCAGGCGGCTAGTCTGGCCCTCCGCCTATGGCCCCCCGCTCACCATATGTCCTGCAATCACCCTTCCCAACTGCAGCGCAGACGTACCCTGGATATCTTCTTGACTTTTCCGGCCACCACTGAGCAGATGCCTCCACGGAGATGTTGGCAAGGACAGCTCGATCTTTGACAACTAAATCCAAACCCACCACTGCATCTTACCGGCCTTAAGGATTTCTTCCCAGACCCATTACTTTGCCCTGGACTGCACTGACATTCACCCGCTCAACTGGCTCCCACCCGTTTGCACTGCTCAAGCACCTCCTCTTTTCAGCTCCGTCCAGAGTTTCTCACAAAATCTTCCTCAGTCTCAATTCACTGAAATGTTGGTACCATCAGGAAATCTTGCTGCTTCCACTGTTCCCTTCCCATTCCAAGGTCTTAAACTCCTTAGCATTACCCTGTTTTTCATTTTAACCATCTTACACATTAACCAGTCAATCTCAACATCCCTGGGAACAATCACCATCCCCAGCCAATGGAACGCAAGGCAGAGAGATTAAGGGTAACGTTTTCTGAAATGCCCAAAGGATTTAGGTGCCGACGTCCCAATCTGGGCTGCTTAGTGAGTAAGGGTATGTCTATACAGAGAAGAAAAACCCTGCAGCTGGCCCATGCCAGCCAACTTGGGCTCAGGTTGTAGACGTCTGAGTTTGGACTGGAGCCCCAGCTTTGGGACCCTCCCACCTCTCAGGGTCCTAGATCCCAGACTCCAGCCCGAGCCCAGACGTCTGCACAGCAGTGAAACAGCCCCACGAGCCCGAGTCGGCTGGCACAGGCCAGCCGTGGGTGTCTAGTTGCTGTGTAGACTTAGTCTTCGGCACTTGTGGAAATTTACCATTGGTGACTTGCCCCAAGACGCAGCAGCAGTCTGGTGTCAAAGCTGAGAATAGAAATGAAGAGTCTCCTGGCTGGGGTTTCAGACTTCTAGACTATGTCCTGACCAGCACTAGTCCTGGTGTTTGCTCCCCAAGGACACTCCAGCTGTTAACATCTTTCCATGCTGCGCAATGGTCATTTATTCCAACGCTCGGCTTCCTAGTTAGCACCGTGCTGGGACTTTGCCGCTTACCATACAGTTCTAAAGGTTCCTTCCCAGAAAGCTGACTTCTACCAATACGGGTGAGGAGAGATTAAAGAGGCTGGGACTTTTCAGCTTGGAAAAGAGGAGACTAAGGGGGGATATGATAGACGTATATAAAATCATGAGTGGTGTGGAGAAAGGGAATAAGGAAAAGTTATGTACTTGTTCCCATAATATAAGAACTAGCGGCCACCGAATGAAATGAACGGGCAGCAGGTTTAAAACAAATAAAAGGAAGTTCTTCTTCACACAGCACACAGTCAACCTGTGGAACTCCTTGCCTGAGGAAGTTGTGAAGGCTAGGACTATAACAGGGTTTAAGAAGAGAACTAGATAAATTCATGGAGGTTAAGTCCATTAATGGCTATTAGCCAAGATGGGTAAGGAATGGTGTCCCTAGCCCAGTGGGTCTCAAACTTTTTTACTGGCGGCCCCCTTTCACACACAGTGTGACCCCCCCAATAAATTAAACATCCTTTTAAATATATTTAACACCATTATAAATGCTGGAGGCAAGCGGGGTTTGGGGTGGAGGTTGACAGCTCGTGACTCCCCATGTAATGACCTCGCGACCTCCTGAGGGATCCTGACCCCCAGTTTGAGAACCCCTGCCCTAGCCTCTGTTTGTCAGAGGGTGGAGATGGATGGCAGGAGAGAGATCACTTGATCATTACCTGTTAGGTTCACTCCCTCTGGGGCACCTGGCATTGGCCACAGTCAGTAGACAGGATACTGGTCTGGATGGACCTTTGGTCTGACCCAGTATGGCCGTTCTTATGTATGGACTGTAGGCCATCACTGCGACCACACTGAGAGGTAGATGCAGGTACATATTCCCTGCACAACACCTGATGCACCTGGCACTCCCCTCTTGTGCGTCAGCCGCGTCAGGAGAAAATCTGCTTGAGTGAATTTCCTGAGAACTGGCCCTTCCCACAGGAGGGCGTCTCTAGCCTGCAGCCATAGCACCTTCAGCCCAGATCCTGCCAGGTCTCATAAGCTGATTAACATCAGACCAAGTGAGTGCTCGGGTGAGGGACCCCCCAGGAAAACGTTAAGGTGTTGCAAGCATGGGCACTGGAATTTCAATAGGTAGCGTTCTCTTTGCCCCAGTGCTGTAATGCTGAATGAGACTATTAGACGCACGCCCTCATCCCTTGTGATCATGAAAGACCACATGCCAACTGCGGTTTCAATTGGATACAGAATGGCTCCTCTCTTCCTGTACTAAACTGTTGTGATGCGCACATCCGATGGGTTCAGTGTTCTACCCCAGAGGTAGCTGCATTTTAGTGGCAATACCTATACACTTAAGCTCACTGGGATTTGTGTTCTTCAAGGCAACTGAGCTGCATTTCCCAGGTCCCAGCAGACTACTGGGGTCTGGAGAAAACACCCAATGCCCTGGCATCGCCCATCCCCCCTGTGGCAGTCACTCCCTGCTCGGAGATATCTGTGCTATCTCCCTGGTACATGCAGGCTACCAGAGGAAGAGGACAGAAGAGAGAGCTGACTCACCAGCGGGTGGGCTCCTGGCATTGTCTCCTTGGACACTGCTCCACTCAAACTCCTGCAGTTCACTAAGGTCGAAGCTCCTGTCACTCTGTGCCAAGAGCCCCTGGGGGGAA